CCCTGTGGGATTTTATTTTTAACATTATAAAATAGCTTTTTCAAGAAAAACAAAACCACAACCTTTTATCTCCCATCCCTATCCCAAATAGCAAAATCGAGACATTTTTAAAAACAAACAACCCTGAACTTCTTCCCACTCAATTCTAACATATGTTACTGCTGCCCAATTTATATGTTCATTCAAAACATGAGCACCTATTAGGTGCCAGATACTGTTCTAGGCTTAAATCCCTGCCTTCATGGAACTTATATTCTTTTGGAGAAGATGGGGAGTACTAAATAAGTTAACAAAATAAATAGTATATTAGTGATACGTGCTAATAAGAAAAATAAAGCAGGGAGGGGGAATTGCGATATTGTATACTGTAATTTCAGAGACATTTGAGAAAACTGAAATTGAAGGAAGGGGGTTACTAAGTCACACTGGGAAAAACAGGATTCTAAGCAGAGGACAGGCCTTGAGGTGGGAGCATGCTTAGTTTGTTTAAAGAATAGGGAAGGGTGTGGTGTGCCTGGAACAGGGTGAAAAGGAGGTCAGAGATGACGTCAGAGATTAATAAGAAATCAGATCAAGTAAGACTTGTTTTCAGCTCAAGTACTCTGATTAAAAAAAAATTCAAGAGAAGAAGTCCACTGGAATAAGAGTTCCATCAGAGTCTGTATATCGTACAGAACCTTAAGTTTCGGTTTTTGAAATTTAAATAAGTGACAAATAGATCTTTGAGATTCACGAGGGAAATGTCCTAAGACTTCACAAATCAAAAAGTACCTTAAAAGCCATTATTATGGATGAATAGAGAATAATAACATTATAGTTAGACGCTAATTGTTCTCTATATGATGGCCTCTAAAGCAAACAAACTGTACTGACTTGGCAACAAGGCAAATTACTATTGATCTTTCACAAATAGTTGAAACATTTATAGATTTAGAGCACTTAAATGGCAAATACTCTACTTGATTTTGTAAATGGCTTCTTTGGAGGTATCTGCTTGATTGATAAGCCACTCTCTCCTTCTCTGGGAAATGAGTTCAGACCACCCTCCCTGCTTCTAGTTCATGCTCTCTCTCCTATGGATTCAGCACTGGGACTGAGAATGAGTTATGGCTGCATGCTGCCGCAACTGGGTAACATGTGATGGTGATATTTTGCCATGTGAACTGGATAAAAAATAAAAACTTGTTTGCAGGGAGATAGTGTTAAAAATGAAACAGATACACAGAAACAAGAAGAAATAAGCTGCACAGGGTCCCAGTTTTGGTTTTCCAATTATGGGTTCCAGTTCTTTCTTGTAGCCCTGCCCTTCACAACAGGAAATACCCACCAATTTCTGACACCATTTCATATTTTTTGGTAGCTTTTTGGTGTGAAAGGAGTTAAAAAGCTGAAGCTGTTGCCTGTTACTTGTGATCCTAACAAACATAGTAATAGCGTAGAAAATACGTTCAAATAAAAATTTAAATTAAGTATACCCTCTAAAAAGTTCATGAATCATGTCATGTATTACAATCTATTTGGAAGGAAATTTGGCAGTATCAATAAAAACTTAAGATGTATATGTTCTCTGACTCAGCATTTCTACTTCTAGAAAATTCTATAGACGTGTTCACTACAGCATTGTTTTTAATAACAAAATACTATGAATAACTTGAATTATCCAAATGGCAAAGCATTTTGATATATCCATACAGTGGAATACTATGTAGACTTTAACAAGAATTTTCCATACAAAATACACATGTACCCTAAGTTGGAAAAATGCAAATATATCACATGGAAAAAAAGCAAATTGTTGAACAGTCTGGATATGTAGCATGTTTCACATGTCTGAGGGGAATAAGAATACATATTTTTTTTCTTTACATATCCCAATAAAATGCATCCACCTTCCAGATGTGAATTAACATATAAGAGAGACAAAGTGTTATTTTGAAGTAATGTTGTAAGTTATACCTGCTAAAAGGCACTATCCAGGTAACCAAATTTGTATTGGTTAAAATCTATTTACTCTAGTTGTTAAAATATATTAATTAATTGTACATAAGTTATGTAATACTCTGCCAAGTATAAAAAATTCCTGCAAAGATATACAGGGTGCCCCCGGAGAGTAGTGCTGGGGTGAAGGGTAAACTCACTTTTCTTTCTTTTTTTCTTGTAGGCTCCAAGCCCAGCATGGAGCGCAAAGCAGGGCTTGAACTGATGACCCTGAGATCAAGACCTGAGCTGAGATCAAGAGTCAGACCCTGAGATCAAGAGTTGGATGCTTAACTGAGCCACCCAGGTGCCCCTCACTTTTCATCTGGTGCCCTAAAAAAAAATTTTTTTTTAAATCATGGCATGTATTACTTCTGTTATTTCAACAAAAATATCTTTAAGATGAAGGGAATGTATATAAATATCCACCTAAAAGAATAAGCTATAGTTTACTGAGGGTGTGTTCTATAACGCCTCACCTGGGTTGGACATGAGGGAGATAAAACCATACAACGTAGAAAAAGTAAAGCTATAAAGGACAGTAGAAATCTCCTAGTTGATATCTCCATTCTACAGATGAAAAAAACCCTAATATCAAGAGAAAGTAATTTGCCCAAAGCTATATATAGCTGAATTAGTGGTAAGATGAGGATCAGGAGTATCTTATATTCTTTTTCCTCTATACTTCCACTCAAAATTCTGAGATGAGAATTTTGCCCTGAGATGAGACCAAACTGAACAGACCTTTGAGGAAGACTTTTGAAGGATCCTGATGACGGAGTAGACAGAAACACTGAGGAAAAAGGAGCCATCGGCAAACTTCAGTTTCTAGTCTTGGGTGCTGAAATGAACAAGGCTGCCAACGGCAGAAATAAGCTCAGTCTGGGGGAAGCAGGGAGAGTGGGGCAGGATGTTTTTCATTTATTCATTCTCTCATTCACTCAACAAATATTTAGAGTTTCTACCATGTGACAAATATTGCTTGATGGTATTAAATTTTGAACTGATGAATCCAGTTTTATTTGGGTTTGTAGGTTTGGATAATAGGTCACTCAAGGACAGCTATTCTGGTGGGAGCCAGGAAGGTGATGAAGTAGGAGGACTCTAAGCTCACCCAGTCCCATGGATACACGTAGAAAACAGACATATCAGTGCAACTAACCTAGAAAATGACCAAGCTGGAGATGCTGAATGGGTAGACACATGCCAAGAGGGATGAATCCTTGAATAATGGCTACAGGGTGCTCTGGGGGAGAGGTCTGCAGGTTCTTCCCTCTGAAACATCAGGAAGAATGCTGCAGCCCTCGTGCAGCTAGACTGTAGGCTTCTAGATAAGTGATCCTGGTGTGCAGCTTCAACTCCACCCCTTTGCCTCACATACAAGAAAGGGTCTGGAATGCAAATGAGCGCTAGTGTGACAATATCCTTGAATCTGTTTTGTTTTTTTTTTTTAAAGATTTATTTATTCATTTGAGAGAGCGAGAATGAGAGAGAATACATGAGAGGGGGGAGGGTCAGAGGGAGAAGCAGGCTCCTCGCTGAGCAGGGAGCCCGATGCGGGACTCGATCCCGGGACTCCAGGATCATGACCTGAGCCGAAGGCAGTTGCTTAACCAACTGAGCCACCCAGGCGCCCTCCTTGAATCTGTTTTAATTCATATTCAGAAAAGTGAACTCATTCCTGAAAACTACTAAAGAAAACAAACTGAGACACAATAAAATAATAATCACAATATCCTAGTGTCAGAATTCCAGAGGTGAAAACAAAAGCTGAAGGAACAGTATGAAAAGAATAAGGGCAAGGCACCCTTGTGAGGTTAAGAAACAGAAAAATTAAAAAAAATTTAGGAGGAAGAATAATCATTCAAGGATTAAGAAACAGAACTAGAACAGAAAAGCACAAAGAAGAAAGCTTTTCAAGAAGCCAGAATGACAAAAGTCACTGAACTTGGGTAGGGATAATGGAAGCCAGTTGCCTGGTATTAGCTGGGAAGGAAAAGAGGACTTGGGTGCAGACAACTTATAAGAGAATGTAACTCAAAGGGAAGAGAAAATATAATGGCGGTTAGAACAGCATCTGAACCAAACTGTTGTTGTTTTTAAGAGAGATATACTTTGACATATACCTGAGAGCAAAGGGAAAAAACTGGCTGTGATTTTTTAAGTGGAGACGCAAGTGTTATAGGAGCAAACTGGGGGAGAAGAGAAGAAAAAGGTCAGTAATCTTCATGCAAATATAACAAAGGACAAGGGGCGCCTGGGTGGCACAGTCAGGTAGGCTTCCGATTCTTGGTTTCAGCTCAGGTCCTGATCTCAGGGTTGTGGGATCGAACCCCGTGTCAGGCTCCACACTCAGCTCAGTCTGTTAAAGTCTCTCTCTCCCTCTAACCCCCACCCCCGCACTCTTTCTCTCTCAAATAAATAAATAAGTCTTAAAAAAAAAACAAAAAAAGGATGAGAACACACATACCAAGAGGAAACTGATACGCTCTGGAAAAGCCAGTTTGTAAAGGTGCACTGGCAGCAGGGACTCTGTCACCAGTTAGGTCAGATGCTAGCTCTCCCACTTACTAGCTTGTGACCTTGCGTCAGTAACTTACTTTCCATGAGCCTCAATTGCCTCTTCTGTACGTGCAAATAATACCAAGTGTAAAGGACTATTGTGCAGATTAAATATAAATCTCCTGGAACATATCAGATTCTCAATAAAGCAGGTGTTACTAGGATGATAATAATAATTACTATTTCGGGGCGCCTGGGTGGCTCAGTCGGTTAAGTGTCTGCCTTCAGCTCAGGTCATGATCCCGGGGTGCTAGGATCGAGTCCCACATCGGGCTCCCTGCTCTGTGGGGAACCTGCTTCTCCCTCTGCCTGCCACTCCCCCTGCTTGTGCTCTCTCTCTCTGTCAAATAAATAAATAAAATCTTTAAAAAAAATTATTTCTGATAAAATACAAAGTCAGACTATGATGTGGAAAATCAGTGAAAGAGAGAAAACTAGGGAGATTTAAAAGTGCATAAACAGTGCTCATTTTGACAGCACATATACTAAAACTGGCACAATACAGATAAGATTAACATGGCCTCTGCGTGAGAATGACATTCAAAAAGTGAATAAACAGCCAATAAGGAGAATACCCAGGAAGAGGTTCATTCAACAAATATCTACTGAGGGCCTATTTAATCAAGACACTTTGTTAGAGACCATGGGAAAAATTCCTGACTGCCAGAGTCTTAGAATAAGGTCGAGTAAGTGACATAAACAGAAATAACTATGAGGCAGTGATTTGTGACCTACAAGGTAAGAATTTGAGAAGTTCAGAGAAGACTTTAAAAATCACTTCTTGGGGCGCCTGGGTGGCTCAGTCAGTTAAAGTGACTGACTCCTGATTTTGGCTCAGGTCATGAGCTCAGGGTCCTGGGATGGAGCCTCATGTCAGGCTTCCCCCTCAGTGGGGAGTCTGCTTGTCTCCCTCTCCCTTTGCCCCCCCCCCCACTGTATGCATGAACGCACGCTCCCGCGCGCTCTCTCTCTCTCAAGTAAATAAATCAATCTTTAAAAAAATATTGCAATTTTAGTATATGTGCTGCCGAAGCGAGCACAATAAATCTTTAAAAAAATAAAAATCACTTCTTGCTCAAGTGAATAGAAATGGGTGAAAAGAAGCAGACATTGAATTAAAACTTTAAACTGGATTTAGAGAGGAAAAAATAATTGTTCTAAGCAGAGAAAAAGAATAAAAAAGGTGGGGAAAGACAAGAGTGCTTTTAGCACAGAGGTGATGCAAGGAAACAGTGTGGGACAAAGCTAGAGAGAGATGTCGGTTGGATCCACACTGTGGAGGGAGAAGGTCTAGAAAGACCCATTTTGTTTCCTGAATAGCTAATAATCTCTCCACATGGTTCAAAAAAGCCCAAAAAGGAACTGGGTGAAAAGCCCCCCACCCCTCCTCCATGTGGAGGCAGCTCCATCACTTTCACTCGTCTCTGCTCTATGAAAAGTCTACTTTCTATAATACGTATTTCTGTAATTTTGTTTTTTAAAGAATGAATGCATATTATTTCTATAATAAGAAAAAAGATAAAAACTCCCAAAGTTTGGAATTCTAAGCAATAGAAATGCAGTATAAAATGGTGCTCAAGAGCAGGGACTCTGCCTGTAGTCAGAAGGTAAGTTATAAATCCCAGATCTTATTACTCGGGGACTTTGGACACCTACTTTGTGCCTCATTTCTTCATCTCTAAAATGAAGACAAGTGCAGCACCTCCCTCAGAGTTGTTCTGAGGATTAAATAATCACCAGTAAAGTATTTAGCATAATTCTGGTATAATGTTGAATAGATGAAGGGTATTATTCAGAGTAGAGGAAAGCCTTAGTGTAAAGATGTTACATCAGGGCGCCTGGGTGGCTCAGTTGGTTAAGCGACTGCCTTCGGCTCAGGTCATGATCCTGGAGTCCCGGGATCGAGTCCCGCATCGGGCTCCCTGCTCGGCAGGGAGTCTGCTTCTCCCTCTGACCCTCCTCCCTCTCATGCTCTCTGTCTCTCATTCTCTCTGTCTCAAATAAATAAATAAAATCTTTAAAAAAAAAAAAAAAAGATGTTACATCAGTGGCTATTAACTCTTCAGGCCACACATACTGCTCTGAAAATCAGATTATCTTGGTATGAATGGGGTATTTTGAACACTACATGTACCCAAAACTTTGCATACCATCTCAGAATTCATAAATTCTCTGAAGTCTTGGACTTTGGGTTAAGAACATCTAATCTACAGAACTATAAGTAGAAATAATTATTATAAATCAGACTTTTCATAATTCAATATAAAAAAGGATTATTTTATATTAGCTAACCATTTACTGAAAATTTATTATTAATACCAAGATCTACACTAAATGTATATATCTCATTCATGTATCTCATTTAATATTTCCACTAACCCAAAGATGTAGATATTCTTATCTTCATTTTAAAATAAGGAAACAAAGGGGCACCTGGGGGCCTCAGTCGGTTAGGCATCTGACTCTTGATTTTGGCTTAGGTCATGATTTCAGGGTTGTGAGATTGAGCCCACACTGGGCTCCACACCAGGCATGGAGACTGCTTAAGATTCTCTCTCTTGCTCTCCGTCTGCCCCCCACCACTTGCACTCTCTCTCTCAAAAAACAAAACAAAACAAAACCAAAAAACCAATAAAATAAAAAATAAAATAAGGAAACAAGAACTTAGAAAGTTAGTGACTTTCACTACCCTAGTACTGGAAAAGCTTGGGTCTGGTTTGAAATTCATGTTTTTGTTATGTACAGCAATATATTAGTCATGCAAAAAGAATAGTATTAAATGCATGAAAAATTTAAGTCAGCCAAATATCCCCTCCTAAAATCTTGTACAAACTTAGTTACATTCCTTAGCCACGACTTGCACATAACTATACAAAGGTAAAGCTCCTCTTATTTCCTCTCGGAGCTGAACAGCATAGTGAGTTCTAGAGCCAGAGCACCCAGATTTAAATCCATTTTTCTACATATGGCTTCAAACAAGTTATAAACCTCTCTGTGTCTCAGTCTCCTCATCTGTAAAATGAAGACAATAGTATCTACCTCAAAGGGCTGCTGTGAAGTTTAAATGAGTATGTGTAAAGTACAGAATAACTGTTAGCTATTATATTATCCTGTATTTGAACAAAACTCATGAGGTATATAATATAGAACTTAAAACCATTTCCTCTACTTAAGTGACTACACTGGCCACTCATAAATTCATTCGTATTGTAAGACTGTCACCCTGAGAAAAGGAAGGTGCCGCAGGAGTCACCTATGTCAATAGGCAGTGGGAGAGTAGAAATACCAACATCTTTGTAACCAGACAAACCTGAGTTCAAATTTTGGCTCTTTTGTGTATTGGGTTTAAAACTTGACAGGATTCTTCCCCTTTGTGTCTTTTACTCCTCTCCATTCTAAGTTAGCACATTCTTGATTTTTTAAAAAATGACTCCATGATGACACACAATATTCAAATTCAAACCAGAATTTCTAAATGATGGTTTGCTAAGAATAACAAGTGACATTTTTAGCCATGAGGTTGAATTAGAAAAAAAATGCAGAGAGAAGTGAGCCCCTTAAAAAATCTGTATCAATATATGTACAAATGTATGTACATCTGAAATATCACAGAAGATACAGAACATAGGAAAATCTTGTTTTTGCAGATGTTATCTGTAGCAATCACAATATCGATGTAACTGTCAAATCATGCAGATATATCTTGGCAGGATTAACCATATTTTAAAAATTCCTTCGCAAGGAAAGCTTAAGACTGGTTTTTCTTACTCCTTGAAGCTGATGTGGTGTAGATAGGTAAGTCCCTTGCTGCTCTTTTCAAAATTTCTTGTTGTCTTTCTTGGCTGAATTCCTTTTCATAACGTTCCTTTTCAGAACTGGGCAAGTAGAACTATAAAAGGAGAAATAACTATTAATTCTTTTTAATCCCATAAACTATTATGCTCAGAAAAACAAAGTTTCATCCTTTGTTGAAAACACATTTTCTTCTATGAAGGCAAAACTTATTTTCAAATTAAAGAAGTTAAATCAAGTATATTTTAACAAAACTACATACCTTTGACGGATTAAAAAATATTTGCCCTCTATACTAGTGATGGGAAAAAATGTTAACTAGAAAATTTTGCATCTTTGTATTTTACAGAAAAAATTAAATACCTCCAACCAAAAAGGGCTTAATATATATACTTTCTATTAGTAAAAATTTTGATGTTTGAAAATTAGTGCCAAGAAAATTTTAATTTTTGGAAGGATGTCCAAGATTCACTGCCTTTGGGTTAAGAGGTTAAATCATAGGCACATGGTCCAGCCATTTTCTGGCCAAATATTTCAGTGAGGTCAACAAGTCATTCTTTTACTACTCTGTTTTAGCTTTTAAAGAGCTAACCAATAGGAATACTTTCTGCAAAATTATTAAGGATTGTCAAAGCAAGCATAGTCTCCTTTTCTCAAAGAGTTAATTCCTCTATGCTATTTCTAGTTTCCATTTCTTAAGTTTTTATTCCCATAGTGTGGCCAGCCTCCAGTTCATTTCTTAAATAGCATTTTCCTTACAAAGGACTTGTTTATAGTTGCTCCTCATGTCATCCCAGCATCTCAAGGACCCTCAGTTTTATGCCTCTAATTTCATGTAAACAAAAGCTTTCAGTTTCTATCAGTCTTTATTTCACAGAATTTCCTTTTAAACTAAAAATGGCTTGAGACTTGTTCTTGATCATGTCTTGTATTTTAACTGTACTGTTCTTCAATTTTTTTCAAGCAAAAGCAAGGTTTTGCTTGAAAAGGCCTAAAGAGTCATGAATGGAGTTTTTATATTCAAGTATTTTGATCTATCTGCTAATTCACTACCAAAACTTTCCATACTCTTGATGCTTCATCATCAGTAATAATAGTATTAGCTTATCAGTGCAGCCTATCCTGTTACAAACAAGGCAACAGTTTGGCATAGTAGTAGAAAGAGCTCTGGGCTGAGGGAACAGTGATACCAAGAGGCTCAGCGAATTTTCTAAGATTGTACAATTATTGGCAGAGCTGATATTAAAATACAAGTCTTTTGAGTTCTACTCTACCATGCTTCCCTCCATATTGCTAATGTAAAATAACTGTTCTTGCTTTTTACAGACTGTTACTATAACCTGACCAAACACCACAGTTTAGGATGTAGAAGAATCTATTTAGATTACCTTTCCTGGTTCCCACAACCAAATCTTAATGGCATAAGAAATCCCCAAATTTACTTCTAAGGCATGAGAAGTTAACACAGACAAATTGAACAGAAAGAGGTCAGAAAAGTTTCCCATAATCTTAAGCTGAGACTTTGGAGGTCACTTATCTAACTTCCCAGGGAGGTAGGAATCTTCAGACGACGTTTCTGAGATCCACTCCCTCGTGAATACTTTCAAGTACTGAAATACTTCCCTACTTTGCAAAATGGCCCATTCTCTTTTGAGAGAATTTTAACTGGTAACTTGTTTGAATTAAAAGTTCTTCCCTGACATGTGTCTCTGAAGCATTCACAGTAGAGTATAAGAATCATTTGGTATGATGATAAATGTATATTTGGATAGGAGA